CCTTATCCAATATTACCCCTTCTTGAGTTGATTTTCATCTCTTTAGCTTATATTCTAACACTCCTTCAAACAATCACATTTCATTAGTTTTCGGGAATATCTTTAAGCAATTTTGAGCTAAAATGCAAGTAAAAAGAGTGCAAATAAGTAGTCAAAATCCCTACTTATCAACTCCCCCAAACTTAAGTTGGTGCTTGTCCTCATGCAAATAAGTTAATTCCTACCTCCACAATAACAGAGCTATTTCATATGACCTAAAGTGAATTAAACACACATCAATTAGGACCAACAATTATGCACAACACGTATGAATTATCAATAATGTAATGATTTGACTTTTTGAGTACAATAGTTCTAATGTGGCACTAGAGCATCAAGAGTTGACTCTATTTATCAAGGACGCTTGCTCTATTATGTGGGTCATTATGAATCCCAAACTCCTCCTCCTCTACTCTCCATTGTCATATCTCACTTTCAAATGCAACACTCGATGCAAGGATTGCGAAAAGTTCACTCATCTCTCTCAAAAAAATGTCACAAGTACGGCTTTAAGTACCATATGCTTGCCCCTTATGTAAATCACCACTAATGTAAGCTCACTCAACTTGAAATCATGCAGGTCTTTTTTGGGATAAGTTATACTACTAAGAAAGACAAACTAAAAAAGCTATGAAATAAAGTACGGAAAGCAAGACAAATGAATATACAAACTATTGATATAAACTACGAAAAGTAAGACAAATGAATATAAAAACCTAGGGGAAAATGAATATATACATCAAGGGAAAAGGGAGGAATATATACATAACCAAAGAGAAAATAAAGCTAAAAGGAAAATAGTATAAGTGTTAGTACTGGCCAATGTCAACGTCCAATAAATCAAAATAGACAACCCCCCGAATAAAAATAAGCATTGTCCCAAATGCTTAACAAAAATAAGAACAAGGAAGGGTAGATAGTTAAGAGAACTCCCTATGTAGTCTCAATCTGCATGGCATCCACAACATCCTCCGTCTCCTCTAACTGTATCTCATCATCACCTGGCTGAGGGACAACAGGGTTGCTGAGCATCTGTAGCATCTCCTCAGAGGTGTGGACAGTAGCGTCCAGCTCCTCACACTAGCCAGTTGTTGCCTCTGATGCCTCGGGTACTGCTGATGCTGCCTGTGCTACTGGGACTATTGGCTCAATAAGCAGGTCAAGTGGTAGATCTCCTCAGATGCTATCATGGCAATCACTTTTCTTAACCTCTCCACTGACTTCTTCGATGCTTGAAACTTTTGCATCTTCTTCGCTTGCTTTTCCAACTCCTCAATGACTTCCTCATGCTTCACCAGAGTCTCCATAATGGTCTTCCGGTTTTGCAGAATCTTCTTCAATGTTTCCTCCACTGGCGGAGGTACCTGTGGTGCTGCTCGGGTAGAAGATTATGCTGCAACAACACTGGATATGTCAGACAGTTTTGAAGTAGCTGTCTGTATCCAGTTTTTGAGACTCTCTATTGTCTGGGAGACTCTCAGCATAGTCTGTGGATAAGTGGATGAGGCTGGCACTGATAATGAAGCTGATGGTCTAAAAGAAGAAGGTGGTGGCATGATTGTGTCCCAGTGGAAGGACCAGCTGTTATGGAGGCATAGCATCTACGGAAGGCTCAGCAACTACTATCGTTGGCTCTTCATACTGGCCAGCAGAAGTAGTTGCCTTACCCTTGAACTTCGGGTTGTCAGCACCCTGCAAGTGGTACCATGAGAAAGGCTTCTTGGCCTTTACTTTTGTATTATATTGCCTCGGCTCCACCTTTTGATCATTGAAATACTCTATGAGGAAGTTTGGGTACGGGTATGAACTTCACCATTTTGGACATCGAATGTCATGTTGGTGGACATGATGGCACCCACATTTATCGGGTACCTAGCCATAATCGAAGAAACTAGGACTGCTCGGGAAGTGGGAGGTTATTCTCATTTAAGCACGGATCAATACGGCTATACACGACAGTCAACTACCCTTTGGCTTCAAAATTTAGGGTGGCCCGGACTATGGGAACCCTTGCTATGAGCCATGAGGATGGTGGTCCTCGAGCATCCAAAATCTCAGCTAGCCACGGACGAGCTGCATCACCCATAGCAAGCTTTTCCAAATACTAGACCACCTCGACGTCTTCAAAGACCACATAAGTGTTCAGAGCACCTGAGTCGAATCTGACTTTCAGATTTCTCACTATTGTTATCTTGGTACCCTTCTTAATTTGAGCCACATTGGCATAAAATTCTTTAACCAAGTGCTCATTTGCATCGATGACACTGTGGGTGAACAATTTCCATTCCTTTTGCTCCTGGAATTGTCTAAGGACATTTGGGTTGTGAATGTCCAAATCCTTCATTAAGAACTGTCGCTCAAGTGTGAGTGATCTCTGGGGCCACCACTCTCTGAATCTAGTAAAGGCAGTCAGGCTCACAAATCGATCCTCCCATAACTCTTTCTATATTGATTGGTGCAACCTGGGCATGTGAGGAAGATGGCTTAGAATCTTGGCTACCCTCTACCGAACCCTCAAAAGAACTAGCAGCGGAAGAGGATTCATCTCTCAAGTGAAATTTACCTGGGACTTGTTCAGGTTGAGATTGTGTATCGGGCAGTGCTTGCACAGAGTTACCCTCAGAAGCTTCCCTAGACTGAGGATACTCAGTGGACTTAGAGGGTTCAGGAACTCTGTTGGCGGTTGGTTTCTCGCTTATGGCTCTCTGTATGGCTAGTGGAAGGTTGTTGCCTCGGCCTCGGGAGGATTCACCTCCCTTTAGAAGCATCACCTCGATCACATGACCTAACCATTGTCTGTAATTCATAGCAATAAGAATAAGTTGGAGCTCAAAAAAGTGCACACAAATGCATGACAATTGAAGGAATCAAACTACAGAAGAGGCAGTGCGGACCGCACAAAAGTGAGTGTGGACTGCACAAAAGTGAGTCCGGTCGTAGACTACCAAGTTCAAACCGCACAATTTTAATGCGGACCGCATAACATTCAACAGTACGGATAGCATAATTTTAATGCGGACCGCATAACATTCAACAGTACGGATAGCATAATTTTAATGCGGACCGCATAATTTCACTGCGGACTGCATAATTTTGAGTGTGGTCCGCACTTTTCATTCGAACTTTTTCCCTCACTTTGAAACCTTCGGACCACACAAAAATGTGTTCGGCCTCACAATTTTAATTTTTCCCGGCAAACGTTGGGGTTCATGCAATTTTTCACAAATTAGACATGGTTTGCACAAATTTACAAGATTAGTGGTCTACCCAGTCCCTAATGAACATATATGAAGCTACCCACATGATCTTGAAGCACATATTAAGCACATTTAGCATTTATAGGCCTAAAAATAACTAAACTAATTAAAGAAAAGAAAAAAACAAAAATTAAGAAGAATGACCAAAAATCTAACATGGATTGAACATACCAATGATGAATGATGCAGGAGAGAATCTAACTTGATGAATTGAAGGAAGATTTAGAACTAATGGGATATGCACTGTGTTTGCTTAGGGTTCCAGAGGTCAGAGAGTGTAAAGTGTGAATAGTACATGGAAGTCCTATTTATAGGTTAACCCAGTCGGTCAAAAATGAAGCTGAGTGCGGTCGTGCAATTTTTAGTGCGGTCCACACTATTTACCTGAACCATGGAATAAGCTGTAAGATCCGCACAAAAGTGAGTGCTGCCGCAGAATTTTTGCGGACCACACAATTTTATGTGCGGCCGCAAATTGTTACTAAAATTTTAGAGGCCAATCTTCAGATAGCATGCACTTTTGGTTTTCCAGTTATGTGACCGCACACAGAATTGTGCGACTGCACACAGAATTGTGCGGCTGCAGAGTGATTGTGCTTTCTGCATAATTATGGTGTGGTCTGCACTATTGTGACACTTAACTAATGTTTCTTGCATAGTCCCTGCAATGCACAACCATTCTGGCACACACTTCAAACTAGCTAGCAAAAAACAAAGCCTATCAAAGGAAGAAGAACAAGAAAAAGAAAAAGAAAACAACACATGGGTTGCCTCCCAAGAAGCGTCTGATTTAACGCTGTGGCACGATGCAGATTACCAATCATTTGAAATGAAGAACCTCCATAATGTGGCCATCATCAACCTTGCTAAGATAATGTTTAACCCGATGCCTATTAACTCTAAACAACTGATCGTTCTTATTTTTTCAAATCTAGAGCACTAAAGGGGGTTACATTCACCACTCCAAATGGGCCACTCCAATTTGACTTCAACTTTCCCGGAAACATCCATAACCGGAAATTGAACAATAGCACAAGATCACCCTCTTTCAACTCCTTGTTATGGATGTACTTGTCATGGAGGTACTTCATCTCCTCCTTGTAAAGGGAGGAATTTGTGTAAGCATGATAACGGAATTCATCAAGCTCATCAAGCTCATCCAAATATGCCACCATTAAGTTTCGGCGACATCCCACTCAAGGTTCAACTTCTTCAAAGCCCACATGACCTTATGCTCAAGTTCCACTGTAAGATGACACGCCTTCCCGAACACTAACCGATATGGAAACATCCCAATCTATGTTTTGTAGGTCGTCCTATAAGCCCAAAGGGCATTATCAAGTTTGCTTAACCAATCCGTCCGGTTGGCATTCACAGTCTTTGACAAAATACTCTTGATCTCCCGGTTGGAGACTTCAACTTGTTCACTTGCTTGAGGATGTAGGGGGTCGAGACTTTCTAAGTGACACCATATTTGGTGAGTAAGATATCAAAAGTCTTGTTGCAAAAATGCGAACCCCCATCACTAATAATGGCCCTAAGAGTACAAAATCCTGTGAAGATGTTCTTCTTCAAAAATTCCACCACACTTCGAGCTTCGTTGTTGGGTAAAGCCCGGCTTCAACCCATTTTGACATAGTCCACATCTACCAAAATGTAAGTATTACCACAAGAGCTCACGAACAGTCCCATGAAATCAATACCCTAAACATCAAAGATATCAATTTTCAAGACGGTGGTGAGGGGCATCTCATTCTTCTTAGAAATCCCACCGAACCTTTGAAATTCATCACTATGCTTGACTAGATCACTAGCATCCTTGTAGAGAGTAGGCCAATAGAATACACAACTCATCACTTTTGTTGTTGTTCTCACTCCACCATGGTGACCATAATACCGTGAGGAGTGGCAAGCCTCAAGAATTCCCATTTGTTCTTCCTACAACACACATCGTCGGATCACACCATTGGTACATATCCGAAAAAGATACGGCTCATCCTAATAATCGTCAAGGAAATCCCGTTTGAGCTTCTTTCTTTGGTTTGAATAGAACACATTCGATACAATACCGCTCACAAGATAAATGGCTAAATCGGAAAACCATGGTATCCCGTTCATTGAAATGGCTAGCAATTGCTCATTGGGGAAGGAATCATTGATCTTAAGGATGTCATGTGTCCTCCCCTCCTCCTCCAAATGAGATAAGTGGTCCGCCACTTGATTTTCACTACCCTTGCGGTCTTGAATCAAACTCTTGCAATAGAAGCACCCATAACATCAACTTTGCCTTAGAATCTTTCTTGCTCATCAAATATCGAAACGCCGTATGGTCGGTTTGAACAATCACCTTTGTACCCATCAATACGGGCAGAACTTCTCCATAGCAAAAACATTAGCAAGTAGCTCCTTTTCGGTCACTTTGTAATTGACTTGGGAATTATTCATGGTCTTGCTAGCATAGTAGACCGGATGGAAGATTTTGTTGATACGTTTCCCCAAACTGCTCCAACCGCCACATCACTAGCTTCACACATGAGTTCAAAAGCTAAGCTCTAATCTGGTGCGGTGATAATAGGAGTAGTAGTCAACTTTAACTTGAGCAATTCGAATGCCTTCATACAATCTTCGTTGAAATGGAACTTGGCATCCTTCTCCAAAAGTTTACACAAATGGTTTACCACCTTGGAAAAGTCTTTCATGAATCGGCGATAGAACCCCGCATGACCCAAGAAGATCCTCACTCCTTTCACGGATATAGGGGAGGGAATTTGAAGATCACCTGAATTTTGGCCTTATCGATATCAATACCATGCTTTGAAATTTTGTGGCCTAGGACAATGTCTTCCTCGACTATGAAGTGACATTTCTCCCAATTCAACACCAAATTTATCTCCTCACATCTACCCAAGACCCTATCAAAATTGTTCAAGCAATCATCAAAAGAAATCCCAACCATGGAGAAATCATCCATGGATACCTCAATATTATCCTCGACCATGTCGGTGAAAATAGCCATCATACACAATTGAAAGGTCGTCGGTGCATTACACAAACAAAATGGCATCCGCGAGAATGCGAAAGTACCATAGGGACAAGTGAAAGTGGTTTTTTCTTGGTCTTTAGGGGTAATAAGAATTTGATTGTAGCTAGAGTATCCATCAAGGAAGCAATAAAAAGCATGTCCGGCCAACCTATCAAGCATTTGATCAAGAAATGGAAGCAAGAAATGATCTTTCCGAGTGACTTTGTTGAGCTTCCTATAGTCCATACACACTCTCCACCCGGTGACAGTTCTTGCGGGAATCAATTCGTTCTTGTCTTTTGTTATCATATTCATGCCCCCTTTCATTGGAACACATTGCACTTGAGATGTCCACGAGCTATTGGAAATGGGGTAAACAACCCAAGCATCCAACTAATTGATTATCTCCTTCTTGACCACCTCTTGTATTGCTTCATTTAGACTCCTTTGATGTTCAATGGAGGGTTTGGCAGCCTCCTCCAGAACAATCTTGTGCATGCAAAAGGTGGGGCTTATGCACCGGATATCTGCTAATTTCTATCTGATTGCTCTTTTCCTCCTTTGTAGCACCTCCAATGTGGACTCTGCCTACATGCTTGTCAAACAAGAAGAAAGAATAACTAATAAAGTAGAAGAAGGCCAATGAACTCATACCTGAGATATGGAGACAATGGGTTAACTCCAAAGTGGAGGCTCCTAGAATGAGGGATTTGTTGGAGGAGTCTTCTGATTTTCAAGATCCAAAGATAGCTTGCGGGGCTTATAAGTGTACGACCCCATTCCTTGCAATGCATTAACACACTACATGTAGCCTTCTTTCTCCTTAACATCATCAATGTTGAGCAAAATGGATTCTAAATTATCCTCAACATTCAATGTGGCACTAGAATCATCAATATAACATCAGTTACCAAATCCACAAATGAACAAACTTCATTCTTATTCGGTTGCCTCATATATTTTCACACATGGAGGACCACCTTTTCGTCATCCACCCGAAAAGTGAGCTCACCGGCTTCCACATCAACAAGAGCCTTCCACGTAACGAGCAATGGTCTACCCAAAATGATAGACACCTCATAGTCCACTTCATAATCAAGAATCACAAAGTCCGTCGGGAAGATGAACTTGTCAACAAGAACTAACACATCATCAATTACCCAATGGCCTCTTCATTGTATGATCCACCATCTGCAACCTCATGGATGTGGGTCTTGGTTGCCCAATACCCAAAGTTTTGGACACCAAGTAGGGCATCAAGTTATACTCTCCCTAAGATCACATAAAGCTTTGGAAAAGTTGACACTCCTACTAGTGCAAGGGATTGTGAAGGCGCCGGGATCTTCCAATTTTAGAGCCATTGAGTGCACAATAGCACTCAATTGATGTGTCATCTTGATAGTCTCACAATTCATTGATCTTTTCTTTGTCACCAAATCCTTCATCAACTTTGCGTATCCTAGCATTTGTTCCAATGCCTCAACCAACAGCACATTAATAGACAAACTCTTCATCATATCAATAAAACTTTTGAATTGGTTCTCACTATTTTTATTTACAAATCTTTAAGAATATGGAGGAGGAGGCCTTGGCATTGGTGCCTTAGCCTTCGGCACTACCGGTTCTGGCATGTCTATCACGTGTTCCCTAGACGAGTTCACTTCTCCTTGGGTCTCCTCCACATTTTCATAAATATCAATTCTCACTTCTTCATTAGCTTGAACGACATTGCTTGGAATTTCATCTTCTTAAACCACAACATCATCATCCACAAATCCTTTTTGATTTAAGGTGGTTGGATCTCCACCTTTTCAACTTATTGTAGTCACGGCCATAGCATGTTGCGTATTACTCCCACGCTTTGGATTCGTATCACTAGGTAGTACCCCTTAGGACGAGTGTTCAAAGCTTGCGAGATTTGGCATAATTGAATTTCTAAATTGTGAATAGAAGTGTTGTGAGAGGCTAGTTGAGCATTGGAGTCGGCAGTCTTCTCCGTCATCTATTTAAACATGTTCTCAATTCTACCCATCTCATTGTTAGAAGAGATCGAACCTTAAGAAGGATAAGGAGGTGGATTGCTCAGTTATTGGAACATTTGGGGCCTTTGAAAACCCGACCTCTGATTGTTGTTGTTGTTCCACCCTCCTTTGTTGTTGATGCCACCCCAATTGCCTTGATTATTGCCTCCCCAATTGCCTTGGTTACCTTGATTATTCCAATTTCCTTGATTATTGTTACAACTACTCCAATTTCCTTGGTGGCCTTGGTTGTTCTAGTTTCCTTGATTTCCTTAGGGTTGCAATTGTTGTTGATTTTGTCTTTGAGCATTGTTTCTTTGGCCTTGATAATTGTTGACATATTGCACTTCTTCTTCTTTCTCATTGAACAAATCCTCTTGGTCATACCCATTATCATCTTGCATGAATTGTTCCGGATGGATTTGCATTTGTTGACTTTTTTGTCGTCTCTTGTTTATCATCATATTCACACCTTCCATTACATTCACTTGTTTCAGCCCTTGAACTTGTTGAAGCTGAGCTTTGGCCAATTGATTCATTGTAGTTGTCAACTCGGCAATAGCTTGCCCATGATCATGTACTTCCTTGTGTAGGTGAATGACATTTGGGTCACCTTGAGGAACATTGCCTCTACTTTGCCATGCCAATGAGGTATTGATAAGTAGGGATTTTAATAGATTATTTGCTCTCTTTTACTAGTGTTTTAGGCCAAAAATGCTTGAAAGTATTCCCGGAAACTAATGAAATATGCTTGCTTGCAGGAATTATTCAAAATGAGCCAAAGGAACCTTAATCAACTCACAAAGGAGTCAAAATTTGAACAAAAACTAAGGCTCGGAAAAGAGTTCTAAAGCGTGGACTGCACAAATATTGTGCGACCGTGAAAGCCTTGATGCGGTCGCGAGCATAATTACGTGGTCCTCAAGGGAGATTCAAAGAGTGTGATTTTCTGGCTAAAAGATGAGCGAGGACCGCACCAGAAATGTGCGACTGCGAAAGTCCGCGTGCTACCGCGATTGAAATTATGCGGTCTGCAATGACTGAATTCATAGAGCTTACAATTTGAGCAAAAGAGAGAAGTGCGGTCCATGTCAGAATTGTGTGGCCACGATCGAAATTATGCAGTCCGCAAAAGCTCAGCCCAACCCAGATCCAAAATTGAAGAAAACGGATCACACTTAGAATTGTGTGGCCGCAAAAGTAAGAGTGTGGCCGCACTCAGAATTATGCGGCCGTACTACCTCCGTTGGGGTATTTTTGTCAGATATTTTCAGCTTAGTATAAATAGAATTTTTTGTCATTTTTAGGTCATGTTATGTATTAGAGGAGCACCTGAGACGGCCGAGTTTTTTGTTTTGGGAAATTTTGTACTAGATTCATCTTTTAACATTAAATTTTTATCCTTTAATCTATTTTTATGAATTTTATCTTCATTTCATCTTTAATTTCTATTATTTCCATGAGTAGTTAAACCCATAGCTAGGGTTCTGACCTTACCCTAGTGTGGCTATTTGATGGGCATTTGATTTTAGGGTTTGAATGTGAATGGTTTAATGATATTTAGCCTAGTTCTTGCTAGAACTATAGAATTAATGGTTGCAAACATTGATTCATGCCTTTATGACTTAGTATCCACTTGAGAAAGAGGGACTAAGTCTAGGAAAACTAAGCTGACAAGGAATTGGGGTGAACTCAAGAAATTGATAGCCCCAATTAAAGGGTTTAACCTAGATATAGTAATACCCGACTTGAGCTAATATTACTTGAATTGCATGAATACCTATTTGGACTTGAGAAAGCCAAATTGGGCAAAATCACTCAAACTACCAAGAGGTATAGAGTGAGTACCCCAGGGGTGATAGCTATATTACGACCCCAACTAATCAAGCTTGCCCTAGATTCTTGCTACCCGTTGGATATCCACCTAGGTAGACGTCACGACCCTAGTCTCTTTAACCATTTGAAAAACAACTACAAAAAAATTGTCCTTAGTTTCAATCATTGCAATCTTTAGAGTAAAGTTAGAAGTAGAAATCAAACCCAACACTTGTGGAAGTGTATTTAGACTCAAAGCCCACATCTAGCTTAGATATTAACCTAATTCCAATGATTAACTCCTTGTGGATTCGATCCCGACCTAGTTGGGTTAAAACTGTATCGACCACCCTCACTACTCCATAGTGCTGTAGGCTTGGACCCGATCAGGTATCCACCATCTCATCCAAAATATCACAAGCTTCGGCATAAGGCGTGTTCATGAAGTTCCCACCGGCGAGTTGAATTATCACACATTGAGTTGTTGTGTTGATCCCCCTGTAGAAGGTTTGTTGGATCACGACCTCGGTCATATCATTAGTCGGGAACTCTTTAACCATGGTACGATATCTTTCCCAAATATCGTGCAATGGCTCATTGGGCTCTTTCTTGAACGTAAGAATCTCATATCGAAGTGTATCCATATGCCCCGGAGAGAAGAATTTGGCAATGAATTTCTCTGCCAACTCATCCCATGTATGGATGAAATGATTGGGCAATCTCTCTAACCAGTCCAATGCCTTTCCCCGTAGAAAAAAGGGAAATAGCCTCAACCACATCGCGTCCTCGGAGACATTGGTTTGCTATTCCCCCCAACAAGTATCTACGAACCTTTTGAGGTTCTTGTAAGCATTTTGACTCGGAGCCCCGGTGAAGTATCAATGTTGCTCAAGTAGTGTAAGCATCACATTGGTTATTTGGAAGTTTCCCACACTAATATGGGGCGGAACTATAGAACTTCCATAACCCTTATTCGGCAATACTCGGTGTGTCGCCGCTCTTGGTGGAGGTGGGGAAGGGACGGGAACATTATCATGAGGTGGTCGGTCTCGCCTATTCTCTTGCAGTTTGCGAACAACCTCATCCCCGTGATCATCCTCCACTTTCTCCCCCATTGGCACATTCACGATGGGCTCGTTGTTGAGAACCATTCTTGTA